TTTTCTTCAACCAGACTATAACTACAGATCATCCACTATACCCTACGCTACAACCTCCTAATTGTTGATAGAGATCTTTAATAAAAAATCGAAATTTAAATATAATATTTATATCTTGTGTACGTAATGCTTTATTCATTAAACGATATAAGAAACAGTCGCGTGTATACCACCAAATAGCCTCATGAGCCGAATAATTTTTTTCAAAATCATCGATATTACGTTGCTCGTTAACATTGCCACTATACTGTTGTCGACATTCCATTATTAAATCCTTTTTTGCCGATTCCGACAACGGCAGACGAATCAACACTTCGATTAATGCTTGTAGCCAAATGAATGTAATATTATCTTTATTTAAATCGGTAATTGACTGTTCTTTTACATTTGGACTTAAAACAAGTGCTGGTATTGTACCTTCTTTCGAACATAATTTTTCATCAGCTTTTAATTGAGCAAATAAATCAATTTTATCATCAAATACACCACGTACTTTTGAATACTGCTTTATCCACTGTTCATATTTCGGCTTATTTTGACAAAATACATAAATAAACTTAATTTGAGACTTGTAGTGAATAACTGGTAGAACAGCTTCACTAAACGAACCGGATATAATTAAAAATATTTTTTCGTTGTGGACAGAGGATATATAATTAATACAAGTGCTTGAATCGATAAATGTCTTTAAATAATTAACAATCTGTCGAAGATGATTTTTTGTATCTTGACAGTCGATGCTTGTGTCAATGTTGGCATCAAGCCAAACAACAGTAAAATCTTCAAGATTTTTTCCAGCATGTAGTTCTGCTGCTACTATTGGCAGTGGTGGTGGTGATACTACACCAATCGGATGAATTACATTCGATCCTTTCTTGGCGCATATACAACCCATTGTTTTTGTCTTTATGGTTTTGCATAAAGAAAAAAGACAAAGCTAAGACCGTCAGTTTTATTTAAAAGCATGGAAAGTTGCATCGTCATGGTTGTTCTTGTAAATTTCGTCTCGAACAGCGAACACAATTAGGAGGTTGTAGCGTAGGGTATAGTGGATGATCTGTAGTTATAGTCTGGTTGAAGAAAATCCGCAGAAGTCATTGTCTCATACCAGTTCAATCTCTAATTGAAAGCAGTTGTGGAATGTGTCCTTCCTTTTCAGCCGCTATAATATATAACCTTTAATTTTTTTCTCAACCCTTCTCAAAGATGAAAAGTAGTCTATTTACTAAGCACCTTATCTTTTTACATTAAATATCAATACTACTCAGTGGGATAGCATCAGACCGGATCCGACTATTTAAGGCAGTGGCGTCGATCGTTTTTTGAATATCCCGAGAAGGAAAGTAATCAGAAAGTTCTGATTTTCTGCATTTTGAAATCAGGACTTGGACGCGCATTTTCATAAAAGACAAGGTGCCGAAAATGCAAACTTGCAGCAAAATTTATTTTTCGCTTTTTACACACGGTTGAATAGAGATCAAGAATATGTGTCTTTTAATTTCTTTGGAATGATTTTTATGGGGAAATCTCTCAACTT